TGTAATACTATACTAAAATACTACATCCACAAATACATCGTTTTGAATTCAATATTTAAGGACTAATAAAGCAAAGTGAAATCGATTCTTTAAAAAAATGAAATGACACGGCAAAAGTGACAAAATAGACAAACATTGGTAAACATGGCAGGCAACAACCTCAACAGTAGAGAGGAAGAAGGCCCAATCCCAACGTCCCCCTAAAGCCTCAAACCCTGAACCCTCAGGGACTTACTGACGTCACCTGGTAAGTGGTTGAGTGTGAGAGACTGTGAGGAACGGGACAGCACTTTGCTGCAACATATCACGTTAACATCGTGTTATGTACAGTTGTGGGTATTTATTTTATTTTTTATTTTTCACTCCCTGAGTTGAACGTCTTCGAGGCTTTTGCCTCACGCGATGAAAGTTTTTTTGCCAAAACAGCTTCAAAGACGAAATGAAAAGAAATGGTTGATGAATAAACCGGCTGTGAAATATATTCCTCTGATTTCATGTTTTTATGTTCCATCTTAAATCCTTAATGTTTCTGAGTAAATGTACTTTGACAGGCTGAACACACCTGTGCCGTCCTCTTTGTTCAACTTTTTTTTACGTCTCCATGCTTCCACTGGTTACCCCGTGTTTAACATCACATTGGAATGAGTTGTGGGTAATTCTCTCGGGCAAAGTCTGCAGTCATGAGGACTTATGGAAAGGGTCCATGAAGGGCTCAAAATGTCTGCGAGAGAGCCCTCAAACACTAAACTCATATAGATATAATTCTGTAGTGAACACAAGCTGCAGAGATTAGAATGTTTTGTTGTGTCAATAACTCCTCTTGTGAATTTTTAAAGTATCTTTACGTGTCTTAAAAAGGGCAGACTGACATGTGGCTAAATGAGACTACTAGTCCATCTTTACAGTTTTGATGCGTATATGAGATTATCTTGCTAAACGAAAATGTTTACGCATCAGAAACAGAGTTTATATTCTGCTATAACCCTAAATCCCCAGCGGCTGATCGTGGAGGGAATCAGTGTAAACGCTAATTTACCGTGGGTCGGCCTAGAACAACACGTCATCCCTGCAGCACTGATGTCACACAGACTATGTATCTTTTTAATTATATTTTAAAGACCATATCATATGTTTTGAGTGTAATATATGTATCTTTGCAGTGACCACACCCATTTGAGATGAGACAAGTAAGTACAAAGTCGCACGAATGGAGACACTCAAGTAAAGTACAAGTAGCTCTAAATAGTAGCTTTAAATCGGAGTTGGGTGTCGCAGCAATGACTGCAGGTCAAATAAAGACCCTCGTAAGTATAGTGGAATAAATCCGGGTGTGCTGACTTTAAACCAGACCTCGCTGTCCTGTGACTGAGGTAGAACCTTCTTGATTTATGATTGTCCCTGCTTTGTTTTGATCTATTGCACATTCCTCACCGCACTGCCAATTTCACAACTGATGCACGAGTGTTTGTAGGTGTCAACATCATCATTTACAGACCGAACCAGTGCACACACAATTTTCCCACTCATCTGCGAGTGTTTGGAAACCCCGCAAGTGAGCGCGTGAGAATGTGTGTGTCTGTGAATGTTGTGTATTTATCAGGCATAGGGAGACAGACAGTGACCGAGAGAGAGAGAGAGAGAGATAGATAGAGATGGGGGGGGGGGGGGGGTCCTTACAATATTACCAAACAGCTCCGGCTCGCGAGTAGCCGTTGGAACAGGGAGGAGGGTGGATTACGCAACAGCTGAGCTTTCTTCTTCTTTCTCATGAGGTGTGGCAGGCCACTTACGGGAACGAGACGGAGACGAGCCAATCAGCTCTCACCGGTTAGGCGGCATCTCAGGTCAATAACGCCCGCCAAGTGTGAGTGAAGAGAGCATGTGATTACAAAAAAAACAATGACACTCATTGACTCATTGTCTTTTGTTCTGAACATTGTGTCCTCTGCCATGATTCAGTGTTGAACTAAGACAGTCAAATTAACTTTTTTAGGGGGAGGGGGGGACTCACCGACAGTCAATTACCCAGCTCTGTATTTGACTCTGAAGTTTGCATGATAAGTTCCTCCACATGTGCAGAGGGACAATAAACAAAGGTAGTATGAACAATAGGACCACACAGATGGTGTGACTGTTGGGGACTAGATACAACTGCCTCAGATGTCTACTTGTATTTCAGATTCAAAGGAGGGGTTTGACATTTTGGGGAAACAGGCTTGTTCACTTTCTCACCGAGAGCTAGACGAGAAGATGGATACCTAACTCGTTGTGCGTCCAGGTTAACATGAGAGGTAGAGGCAGCAACCGGCTAGCTTAGCTTAGCATAAACACTAGAAACAGGGGTAAACAGAAAGCTAGCCTGGCTAGCTTCACGACAGGTCTTTTTTAAAATCACCTTTAGGTTGACAGGCAACAAGCAGAGACTGCGAGGAGTCATTGCGTCTGATCAAGAAATAGTGTGGCGCATCACCTCCCTGTAAAAACTGCAACTTGTTATTACAATTTGGTTTTAAGCACAGATTAACAAAAGAACAAACAAGATGATAGTGAGCTTTTCGGGTGCTAGTAGGCAGATTTTGCTCCCTTTGCACAGCACCATGCTGTCCCCCCCCGTCTCCAGTCTTCATGCTAAGCTAACTAGCTGCTGGCTGTAGCCTTACTTTTCAACAAACAAACTGTGAAACGTTTTTTGGCTAGCACAAGTTGTAAAAACAATACTGACTGTATTATCACCTTTTGAGTAAATGGCAAACTTGTTAACACACAGTTACATATTTTAAACATCCAGCAGTTACACAGCGCCACTTTAATTTATTTGGGCTAGTCAGCGCTAAATCAGGGATACTCAACTTGCTCTTTCTCTATTGGCCATTTTTAAATCCTCAATAGAGAATAACACCAGGGGCCAGTTAATAAACAAACAATATATCCTACTGTAAATCAATTTATTTTCATTGTGAATTAGAAAAATGGTCTGCGGGCTACCCAGCCACGACAACTTGTGGTACATCAAATTGGGAGTCAAATTCGTTCATGTATTGTGTAGTTAATGTTCTCTATGTGGGTATAGGTGATAGCTGGTTTTGTTGTAAAAAATTGAATTATGATTAACAACAGTCATTGCAGGCAAGAATGAAAAAAATGGATTCTATCTCTAAGTCCTTTGTCTGCTAAAATACCTGGAGAATTTGAAACAGCAGAAACTCTTGGCTGGATTTTAGGGACGTTCATGACAACAGCAGCCGACATGCAGAGCCTGATGTGGCATGCGGTTCTCAGAATGAGGGGGGAAATGAATGGCGGTGTCATTCACGGAAACGACCTGTGGTCTCCGATACCCTGTGATCTCTTCAGGGAAATTGCATGTTTACCGAGTACCTGCAGGAGAAAGCCAGCATCAGATCAGAGGGATTAGTGATGACGAACATTTCACTTTGAATTCATTTTATTTTCAGGGCTGGTTTCCTTTCCTCTGTCTATTATTGTCTGATACAAAAATACATACAGCGAGTCGTAGGGAGCCTTTGATTTGGTATATTTTTGACTCTAAACACCCCTTTACTTCAGTCCCCTAGCCGTTCCAACCACATCACAGCTGGTATGTACACATAGTGTTCACCTGACAGCCACTAACAGGGGCTGATAGGAGCGGCAGCGTTCCCGACGACCACTGTGATTTGCTGTTGTGTTTTTGCTGTAGGTGAGCTGTCTCAAGGAAGATCAACGGGAGTCCCACAGGAGCGTCACAACTGATTAAATCTGTGTCCAAGAGAGCAGATCTGCGATAGGCTGCTGGTCACTGGAGTAGTTTGGTTCATGGGAGAAGCATGTGATGGTGTGTTGTTCCTGCAGGTGTGTCATTTGGAGACAAGTTCAGATCACTCATGAGGTAAATGCTGTTATTCAGCCATGTGAGAACCAACATAAGACAAATACAAGAGTGCATGTTCAGTTTGAATGGACAATGTTCTATCAATGATAAAGTCTGTGTTGTTTTCTTAACTACCTCAGTTGGTAGTAGAGTCAGTTCTGGGAATGATCCGACACCAAAAAGCCTGTTCTTGTTTCCACCTGCCTTCTAGCGGCACGCTGTTCTTTATCTTTTCATCGGCTCTCTGTATCCGCTGTTCTTCTATACAAAAAGGTGTCAAACAGGAAACCACCTGACCTAGTAAGTTCTATTTACGTGTTGCAATGCTTTGGTTTGTTTTTGTCTTGTACTGTGAAACATTTGGCAGCAGCTTGATCTGAAGTGTGTCGCATCACCAATAGTTACCGTTGTTGACATGACTACGTTAACGTCACAACTTACCCACTGTGTTACCCGAAGCAATACAAAGGAGTCAGGTGTCATAGTTTAAAAAAATATTTATTGAAATTGTATAAAAATAGTTTAACATCATTTACAATTGTAATTTGAATGGATGGAGAAAAAAACAAAAAAAAAGAAAAAAAACAAAACAAAAAAAAAGAACAATCCAAGCTGCTATTGTGAAACCAGAGGAGTTTTCTCATTCTCATTCTCATTCTCACACTCACACACACACACACACACACACACACACACACACACACACACACACACAACGAAACCAGTTACCATCAGTAGACCCTCAATGCTTCGACACATTATGATGGAAGTGCTTTCGGGGACTATTTAAATGTTATTTAAATGACACAAACAAAGAGGCACTCTTCTGCCCTTTAAAAATAAAAATCTTTTAAATAATCGGTCGGGCCCTTCAGTGACTGAGGAATGAGATGTGCACCAGCAGCAGAAAAACTCTCATAAATAAATAAATATATTCTGCGCTCGTCGATGTGTGTTGAAAAGCCACGGCGATAATAAATATCTTGATTTACAATTCTTGTCCCCAGTGAACTTTAAGACCTGTGTGAGGCACTGTTTGAACACTAACAAAAATAATATCTGAAGTGAAGTGATGAGCAGAGGATGTTTTGCATTGTGGCATGCATTCAGGGTGGGAGTTGCCTCACAGCCTCGTGCACAGTACAACACGAGAGGGTTGCACACGCTGTAGTAAAAGAGTGAGGTAAGGTCCAGTGTTTCCTGTTATTTATGACCCGTTTGCACAGGGTTACTGTCAGAGCTATGAGGTCGTCTGGTTGCTAATGACATTGGAGTAGTAGAAGTAGTGGTAGTTGTAAATGACATAGGCTTTACTGATCTAGGCCCATGAGAGGAAAAAACAAACGATATAAAGCCTTGTACAGTCAGGAGCTGAAAGTTCTCTTGACAAAAAGAGCCGTTCTGCTCTCACAAACTCAAGTATTTTCAGGGTCACCAAGACAACCTCACAGAAGGCACTTGAAAGGTCGCGAGTGCACGCCGGCCGCTTGCCGTTCGGGCACCGCGGCGAGCAAGCGCACTGTATTTGCTCAACGCAAGCGTCTGTGCATTGCGGAGCACGCCTTCCCACAGGCTGATGATCACCCGACGAGTAGTCTGGGTGGTGAGGGTGGAGAGAGAGCCTGGGCCTGCCAGGGTGAAAACAAGTGATGTGATGTCATGACCCCGGTTTTCTTCTGGGTTACACCTCGCGGGTGCCGGGTACCGTCGGCCGCTCCCATCTCCTCCTTTCTGCTTCAAGTCCGTTACGTTAGTCTTTTTTTGTAATGGTCTCTTCTCGCATCATAGGCAGTCCAGGTTCGGAGGCGAACTGTCCGGCCTCCATCACCGCGCCGCGGCCACGGGGGCGGATGCGAAGGCGGTCTCGATGCTGTGCAGCCTGATCTCCGCGGGCGTCTTCTCCGTCTGCAACAGGGACGGGACCGCCGAGGAGGACGTGCTCTGGAGCCACGAGTGGTTGACGATGTCCTCGAAGGACGGGCGGTCGGCCGGCCGCAGGGACAGACACCACTTGATCAGCTGCTGGCATTCTGGAGGAGGAAGAGGAGAACTAATAAGTCCGGAGCACTAAAAAAAAATATCACTAAAATGAAATGTCATGCGCCTGTCGCCAGAGCTAGAACATGCGAATTTACCTGTGGAGACTCTCCTCCGGAAGAGGACCTGCCCTCCTGTGATCTCCTCGTCGTGTTCGAACGGAATGTCCCCGCACACCATGTCATACAGCAGGACGCCCAGGGACCAAACCGTGGCAGAGCGGCCGTGATAGCGGTGATATTTGATCCACTCTGGGGGGCTGTATACTCGTGTGCCTGTCAGGTGCGAGGAAAATAAACAACATATTTTAGCAATGCACATCTTAACTGAAAATCCCTTAATGTATTATAGAGTCAAAATTGAAAATGAAAGCATTGCAGGAAAGGTTTAAATGATTAACAAAGAGTGCAGAACTATCAGCTGAGCTGCTCCTGAGGCTTATTATCTGGGCTCAGGTGCCAGGGAGCGTGACTGGCTGTGTGTGTGTGTGTATATATGTATGTATGGGGGGGGGGGGGGCGGGCAGGCAGACATGTGACTTTGTTTACAAACGTTGAGTTGTAAAACATGTAGCTTCCCTCCTACAGGGGGCGCGAAAGCTAAGGCTAGGCTGCTGAGCCAATATCAATTGTCTCTAGTGGAGGAGGAGGGTGTCACAGATGACACAACCTAGGAATTCCTGCCTGAGTGCGTAGGTGCAACTCATAAGACTAAACATGGCAACTAAAATAAACTACGACGTTCTAAAATAAATTCTCACCCTAAAATACCACGAGAACTCGTCTTTTGATCGGCGGTGACTCACCGTCAAAGTCCGTGTAAATGGTGTCCTTCAGCAGGGCTCCGGACCCGAAGTCGATGAGCTTCATCTCGCCGGTGCGCAGGTCGATGAGTATGTTCTCGTCCTTGATGTCGCGGTGCACCACGCCGCAGCTGTGGCAGTGCCGCACGGCCTCCAGCACCTGGCGGAAGAAGCTCCGCGCCAGCTCCTCCGGCAGGGCGCCTCTCTCCGTGATGAAGTCGAACAGGTCCTTGACGTTCTCGGGCCGCTCCATCACGATGATGAAGCTGTCCGGTCGCTCGAACCAGTCCAGCATCTTGATGACGCCGCGGAAGCCGGTGCAGACTTTCTTCAGCAGCACGATCTCCATAGGGACCCGGGAGCCATTAGGCTGAAGAGATCAACGATACATATTAACATTTACTACGTATATACGCTAAATGAATGCCCAAAATAGTTTAAACATGTATTTCTGAAAACAATACAATTCTATATTACACAGTATCATGTTAATTTGGTCGATATTAACGTGACTTAAAAACGTTTCTTACCATTTCTCCCCAGTCGGACACTCTGTCCTTGGCCACATGTTTGACAGCAACCTAGCGGGGCAAAGAAGACACCGCGTCAAACGACATGTACAACCAGCCTCCATTTAATAAATTAAACATGAATACATTATTACAACAACACAATAAGGCGTACTAACCGGAGCGCCGTCTGTTGTCCTCGTACCAGTGTAGACTGTGCCGAAGCCGCCGCTTCCCAGCACCGCGCCGACCTGGTAGAGCTTCTCGAAGGGCTCCCTCTCCTTCACTGCGAACACAAACACAGAACCACAGCCGGTGAATACCCAAAAAGACACTAAGCCAACACCCCCTCTCCGCGAGCGACCCCCGCTACACAGAGTGAAGCAGCGGTGAGATATCAGAACAAAAATAATACAGATGATAGGTCGTTAATGAATGTTTAAAAACGAACTGCCGTCCTTGAAAACGAGTAGCGTTAGCATGTGTGGACGGAGCCACGCTAAGCGGGGCTGCCAGCCATTGCTGCAGCCCCGGTGCTCCATGACAACACGGTGGAGAGAGGAGAACAAGAAGGGCGTCTAACCTTGCTGAACTTGGAGCTGCATTTTCGCCGGCATGTCTACGGCGGAGATGTGGGCCAGAGAATTGAGCTTTGACAGTAGCATTCCTTTAATGATATCCACCACAGGCCTACGACGCGTGTGTTATTCTTCAATTTAACAGTGGTATTATTCCGATAGCACGACTCTCCCGTCTCTTGCGTAGAGCTTAAGATCCACGTTGCAGAAACAAAATATGCGGTAAGGATCCTCTCATCCGGATAAAAGCAAATGCCGCTCCAGGTGAATATAGCCCAAAAGGTCGTCCAGGCGTACGGATATGAGTTCTTAGTAAAAACAAAAAAAAACAAAAAAAAAAGAAAGAAAACCTTCCGCGAAACCACAGCTGGTCTCCGTAATGTTTTGTAAACAGTTAAACACAGAGAACGGCGTGCTGAGCAAATCTCTTCGTCAGAAACCAGCTCTTGGAAGGGGGGGAGGACGACTATAAGGCAGTAGTAAGGGGGCGTCACCACACGCCCGTTTGCCCGCCCCTTTCCGCTCCCCTGCACCAATCGGACTGCACAATACGCACGTCAATCACAGAATGAAAATAGAGCCAGCCCCATAACCGGCTGGGCCAGACACAGACGTGGCGGGAATAAAAACGCGCTAAAAAAAAAAAGAGGGGGTGAAACTAAAGTAGTTAGTATGATTTAAAGTTGGAGGGGAAATGCAAATTTAAAGCCAAGTGGGTCTCCCCCTGTCTCCTTTCACTGACTCAGAAAGGATGACCAGACTATTATTAATAGACTTTACACAAAAGAGAACACAAACAAACAGGAGTGCATTCAGGATGGATGCATATTATTTTCTACTCTACCTGATACAGTTTCTCCATATTTTATATTAAAGTCTGTGTTTTTTTGTAATTGCTCACTCTTCTCTTTTCCCACTTTTTGTGTCTTCATTTGAGTTTAGAAACAGACGGCTGCTTTGGGCTGCACTCAGGTTGCACAGAGACGCAACCTGAGTGCAGTTCATCAATTGCGTTGCCGCTATTCTAACCCCCTGTCATTTACCTGCTTATTTCCACATTAAACACAGAGGTGTACTGGCCGGAGTGAAGTCCGGCACGATGAGTCTTTATTTGAGTTGCCCGACAAAGCCTCTCCACTGGCTGCGCATCAAAGCGCGCCGGAGAGAATGGGCGCATTCCTCGCATTCTTTCAAATTGGGTGGCCGCGTTTGCAGGCGCTCACAGGATGTGGGAAACTAGAGATAAAAAGACATCCATTTACTCCCCCCCCCCCCCCCCCTCTCTCTCTCTCTCTGCTCCTCTCTCCGCCCTCCTTTTCCCGCTCATGTTATTGTCTGAATGGCATCCAGTCCCCCCCACCCCTTAATTAAGTTTAGTTTTCCTTTGAGATTTCATGGTAAACCATCATAATGCGGATATATTGCGTGTCACAGAGTCGTAATGGGATGATGTCTCTCTCATCACACTAAAAGAAAGGGAGATTCATAAGGAAAAATATGTTTGTTAATTATCGTTCATTTATTTTTGATGGACCACTGGCAACTCCACTTTTTTAAATAATAAAGATTAATTCTGTCCATTGTTTATTTTTTTAGCAATCCTTTTGCACGCATGTACAAGCAGCAGCAACTGTGTAGCATGGGCCTACGTGAAGACATTTTGCAAAAACAAATAACAAAAAGCTTAAAATAAACCTACACCATCTCCGTCATGAAGCAGCCTATGTAGTTAACAAATACAAAAGTTTGTGGACTATTATCTAATCTGTTCTCAGGTCATGCCGGCTGACTGGAATGCAAAGGATAGCATGGGAGTGTTCCTAATTTGCTCCAGGGCAAATTCCTGTAATGTCTCTTCAAATGTTTGAAGAGAATATGCAAATCCGGCACTGAACCATGTAACTCCCCAGTGTCAACCAATCATCACGTTTGAAAAGCGTTAATTATAGCGATGGAATGGCTTGTACACAGAAACCAAAGCACATCTTGTTTTTATGTAGTTCAATAATTAGCATGTGCTTGTGTGTAAAAGCTGAGCGGACTAGTCTATTTTTAGTGCTCTCTTGTTTTATTGTCATGTTACTGTATTTACAACTTAATAAGTGAGACATCTAGGATGTCGTCAGGCTGCAGTAGTAACACTATAGTAGTTTAAGTGTGTAGTGTCCTGAAGAGGTGCAGAGAGGAGTGAGTTCATGCTCAGTCGGGGGGCCCAGGAGAGGTGTGTGTGAAAACGGAGCAGTCCAAAGCAACAAGTGTGGCTCATGAAATGCCACCAGTGAGCGCATCTCTGTGGGGCTGCACATGGCCCGGCCTGCATGATCAGCAGGGCTCAAATGACAGCCATCTAACCCCTTCTGTTAGAGAGACAGATTAGTAGTTGCACCGCTTGCTTTGGGGCCAGCTGCTCAGTCATATCTCTGGAAGTCTCAGTTTCCAAAAAGGCAACATTACTGTATAGAAGGACGTCACAGATTTCTATGTCAATGATCACAAAAAAGATTCATGGTGCAGCCCCATATCTGGTGAGCTTCAGTCACTCAAGTTTTTGCCCCGTTTTCTTTGAAACATCAGTCCGGCACTGCACACTGAAACTTCAGAAAGCCGCAATGAAAAATAGCAGCGGGGCAAAAGGTGTCGCTTACGTAATACTCCTATGAATTGCTTCCTCTTTCTAGTTAAATAGAAACTCTTCCCGCAGAAAGCTTTCACAACACCAAATTATGTTTCTCCATGTTGAATGTTTCACTACAATCCAGAGGTGGGACAGAGTCGTTCTGCAAGTCGCAAGTAAGTCTCAAGTCTTTGCACTCAAGCCCAGAGTCAAGTGCCAAGTCAAGACTGGCAAGTCCAGAGTCATGAGTCATGTGCCAGGTCAAGACTGATAAGTCCAGAGTCACGAGTCATGAGTCATGTGCCAGGTCAAGACTGATAAGTCCAGAGTCACGAGTCATGAGTCATGTGCCAGGTCAAGACTGATAAGTCCAGAGTCGAGTCCTAAGTCAAGACGGGCAAGTCCTGAGTCGAGTCCCAAGTCACGACTGACAAATCCCAAGTCAAGTCCCAAGTCAAGACGGGCAAGTCCTGAGTCGAGTGCCAAGTCAAGGCTGACAAGTTCCGATTCATGTCCCTGGTCAAGACTGATAAGACCTGTGTCAATACTACACTACTAAAATGTGATATATCTCTTTGTGCTCATTTTAATGAACACAAATTTGATGGTTGAATAAATTGTGACTTTGAAAGACATTATCCACTGTAAGCAGCCTGTGTTGCTCAATTTCCATTTTGTGCAACATTGTGCTTTTATTGGTGTTGCAAAGGGAAGCTTCCCATAAACTCTGTTATCTACCTGACCCTTTGGTACACTCTTGACCTGGCACTCCACCTCCACCCTTCATCACAAACTTCCTATGCAACACATTAACCACCTTAAGCACACAGTGTCTTCTTAGGAGATGATTCACTTCCCCCCACGTGGCCTCACGGACTCTGCCTCGGACTTACACTGTCTCTCTCCTTCGCTCTTTTCTGTCTTCCTGGATGTGGTAAAAGGCTCGGCCACACATGTCCACACTTGTTCGTCCATCAGTCACGATGGCCAGCCAATCACCTCTCCAGCTGTCCTCGGATCCCACCTGCTGCCGCTCTCTAAGTGGCAGGAAAAGTAATCATGGAGGTGTAAGAGACGAGTGTGGGCTTGCACACAGTCCCCCAGTGGATGGAAGATGGCCTCTGTGGTCAAACCTGTGGAGATGTGCATGTCATGTACAGACATAGATATTCACACAGCATCCTGGTACCATAAGATGACCATCTGTATATAAATGAGACTTGCAATTATCGTAAATAACTGCTTTAGCTTGACTTGAAAGCACACAGGCCTTTTGTTAGAGATGCGGTTAATGGACTTTCTCTGTAATTTCCCCCGTGATGATTTTGACACTTTACAGATGGCGCTAACATTCATGGCATCACATTGAACACATACAATGAATAAAGCTCAGTTCTGCCTGTGTGCAAATATTCCCAACGTAAGGATGATTGCTGTATTTATATTATAATTGCTTGATGCTTTGTGAGCTTGCAATGTGGACAACTTGAATAGCCTTTCAACTGTAATGGTAATGCAGATAAACTATGTTCCCTAGATAGGTTTGAATGACACATAAACATTTTTTTGCATCATGTCCTAGCAGTAATTAGACTTCACATATGCATCAGGATTGTTGTGCATAACAACATATGCATGGTGTTTTAATGGGAATGTAGTTAAGAAAATAGGCCACATTCCTCAAGCTTTTTACGCCTGTGAAAAGGCCATTTCACATAATAAACGTGACCATTAAGCCATCGTCTTCTAGAAGTGCAAAATCACTCAGAGCACCCTAAAAGTCATCGGTGCACTGCTCGCTGTGTGATGAGCTAAGCGGTCTGCAGGAAGCAGAGTGAAGCCAGGAGTCTCGCGGTGCTGCGTGTGCCTTGACAGTGATTGACAAAGATTACCCCCCCCCCCCCATCATTAGGACCGACCGGCCACACACAAATAAACACAAACTTTGAAACATAATCTCTCATGCCTCCGAACTAGCCGCAGAGGTTTTGAAACCCTCCCCAAATAAGGAAAGCATTAGTATGTGTGAAAGTGTGTGTGCGTGGGGGAGGGGACTCGGGGCCCTAAATTATTTTTAGAGGTGGAAGAAGGAATGGCTGCGTGCTGGGTAACCTCCAGTGTGGTCTGACCTCTCCTCAGGTAGCTGCTCGCCCCCCTCATTCCTTTCCTCGGGGCCTGAGGGGTCTCGACTGGCGGGGCCATGGGAAAAGGCTCCAGTGTACATCAAAGGCAGGCCTATGTGGGAAAGCCCCACAGAGGGCCCGTAGAGTGCCCTAAAGGTCACAACGGGTCAAAATTCATGTCAGCGAAGGCCCGGGTCGGGGGTCAGGGGTTACTGGCATACCTGTCCATCGCCACAAAGATGGTTCTTCCAGGAAATTATCCCCACTTGTCTCAATTAGGGGTTCGGCTTTACTGAAGGGCCCATGCAAGGTTTGTTTTATGGCTATAGTTGTTATGGAGGAAGGTGTAATCTGTGTGTAGAGAGGGCGGGATGGCTTTAATGTTACCGGTGGTTACAATAATAGGACTGTTGTTAGCTTTAGACCTGTCCTTATGGGGGTTGAGACCACAGGAAATATCACTTCCTAGTTTATCCTGTTGATAATAACACTGTTGACAGGAACGATTATTATGATATCCTGGAAGTGAGTGAACCCAGTGATGCTGACTATAGATAATAACACTGAACATGAGCAAGGTTTGGAATGTTTGGAATTGTTGTTGCCGCTCTGCTCACTAAAGCCCTCCGCCAAAAAGCAGGCATCCAATCAGATCTTAGAAAATAGGACAACAGACAAATTTGTTATGTTAGA